AAAATATTTGCCTGTCCCCATTTAATAACCATTAAGCAACATCGTGGGAGGTTAGGTCGAGTATTTTGCAGGGTGTCAAAGATCTAGAGCAGATATAGCAACCCCCGCGCGTTGTATTGATGAGGTGGCTCGTATTGATTCTAGTATATAAGGGTCGACGTGGTACCTCACTCACCCCCTATATTCTCAGACCCCTTTTATAAAGCGCAAGAGTTGATAAGATCCAACCGATAAGGCATGATTACACACCACCTCTTCTGCCGGACCTGTACAATTGTATAACCACCGCCCAACTCGTCCTAAACCTATTCTCACCAATCCTTTTTCCTTTCAATTAATCTTCACCACTTTCATAAATATTCTTTTTTCATTTCCTTCATGCTATTTTTTATTCCATTATCGTGACGTTTTTTTAAGATTGTATCTTTTTTTTATGAAAAGTAACGCAGTACATTTTCTTTTATTAAAAATTATCATAATTTTATTATTAAGAAATATTATTTCGTATTCTAATAAGTAAACATAAAATCTATCATATATTAAAAAAAACTAAAATTAAAATTTTCGGTAAATGACAAAGTTTAAAAATAAAAAAAAAAAAAAAAATTAGTAATTGAAAAAAGTTTAAAAAAAAATAAATAATAATAATATAAAATAAATGAAAAAGTTGAAAGTTCATTGGCATTTCACTCTCTCGAATTCAATTCTCGTTTATAGGATCAAAAAAAAAAAAAAAATCTATTTGACAAAAAAAAATGCGTGATTGTCAAAATAGGGAAGTCCTCAAGAAATCGACATACCGAAAGGAAAAAGTTTCTCCTCGTCGTGTATCGAAAGCATTGTGTATATACTGAGAGGACAAAAAGCGTAATTTTGTCCCCGAGGGAGTACAAAAGAAATTTTCAATAACTTCTCCATTATGCTATGGAGAGTTCGTCGGAGTTCCGACAGTGCCCAACAATAGCAGGTATATAGCATGTCTTGCGTCGAAATGGTTTTTTGGTTCAAATGTACTGTGTCATCTTGGAGGTTAAGTGGTCCAAGAAGAGGAGAAAAGAGGCTGGTCGAGGATACCTATTATATAGGTAATCGTGCGAGAGAGATACCTATACATATTCGTTTTGTAGCACACAGGGAGGTCGTCGATGCGTTTACACACTCAACTTGCGTTTCTTTAAAAAAAAAAAAAAACATTTATTTTCACATTTATTTTAATTAATTTTCAATATATCGATACACACGATTTATAATATTATTTTAAGTGTTTTAATAATATAAACATTTTGATCCTAGAATTTTTTTTTTTTTTTTTTTTTTTTAATTTCAATATCCATACACATGATTTATAATATTTTTTTAAGCGTTTCAATAAATATAATGTTTATATTATTGAAACACTTAAAAAAATATTATAAATCATGTGTATGAATATTGAAATTAAAAAAAAAAAATTATAATATTCTATTTTATTTATTTATAATATTTTTTAAGTGTTTAAATAATATAAACATTTTTTTTATTGAAATTGAAACACTTAAAAAAATATTATAAATAAAATATAATTTTTTTTTTTTTTTTTTTTTTTTTTTTTTAATTTTAATATTCATACACATGATTTATAACATTTTTTTAAGTGTTTCAATAATATAAACATTTTGTTCATTGAAACACTTAAAAAATATATAATAAATCATGTGTATCGATATTGAAATTAAAAAAAAAATTGTTTAAATGTTTTTTAAAGAAACGCAAGTTGAGTTTTAATGGTCGTTTGTCATTTTGAAAGTATATTAGGCTATGAAATTTACCGCACACCTATAACTTGTAAAGTTTAATATCAAAGTATATGGTAAATTATCACATTTTCATTAAATTTAATGTATGGTACAATATGCAAATAGCTGCATATATTATGTATATATTAAAATGGCTATTGATCTTTCTAAAATAATATATCACTAGAAGGATCAATTTGATTTTTTTTGTTAAGCAGCCTGTGAGTGATGATGCTAAATAAGCTACATTTTTCTAGAGAGGGAATAATAGGCCTTTTTAGTTAAGTGTTTGCCACTCTCATCGGGATCGAAGGCACAGGTGTCAAAATTTCGTTGATACACTAAAAGCTCCTAGACACTTAAAAGAAAGATTACGTGTTCTAGTCCAGAAAAATGCATCACCGTTCTTGAATCCCTAAAATATTTCATCGATCCAAAGACTATAGTTTATTTTTCAAAAGTTAATAAATGCATAATATATTTAAGGTCAAATCAAAGTCATAATGCATGGAATTTAACAAAAAAAATTTTTTTTAAAAGTAATTTTAATTTTAATAAAATTTTCCTATAGAATTCAATGATTTTCAGTAGAATTCTTATTAAGAATTCAATTATATTCATAAATAATACATTTTTTTGATAGGAATTCAATTAAATTTTAAAAAAATTTGAATAAAATTCTTCGCAAGAAATCAATTTATTATTTTAAAAAATTTTCGTAAAATGCTGTATTGATTTGAAAAATTATAATAAAATTGATCATAGAATACAATTATTTTCATAAAATATAACATTCGTCCTGGGAATACAATTATTGTCAAAAATGTTTGTAAAAATCTTCGAAACAATTCAATTATTTTCGTAAAAAAAAATTCTTCGAAGCAATTCAATTATTTAAGAAATTTTAATAAAATTCTTCCCAAGAATTCAATTCTTTTCAATAATAAAATTTTTCACAGAAATTCAATAATTGAATAAAAATTTAATAAAATTGTTCGTCAGGTTTCATAATTATTTTCAATTTTTTAATGAAATTTCTCGATAAAATTTCATTATTTTCAAAAAGTTTAAATAAAAATTTTTTAATTCTGAGAAATTTAATTATATAAAAAAATTTCAAATAAAATTCTTCACAAGAAATTAATTATTTTCATAAATAATAATATTTTTCTCCGGAATTCAATTATTTTCACAAATAAAATTCTTCACAGAAATTCAATTCTTAAAAAAAATGTTTAATAAAATTCGTTGCAGGAATTCAATTATTTTCAAATGTTTTAATAAAACTGACGGAAGAAATCAATTATTTTAAATACAATTTTAATTAAATTTTTTTAAAATAATTCAATTATTCTTTTAGATTTTAGTTAAATTCTTCCCAAGAATTCAATTCATTTCAATAATAAACTTTTTCCCAAGAATTCAATTATTTAAAAAAGAAATTTAATAAAATTCTTCGTCAGGTTTCATAATTATTTTCAATTTTTTAATGAAATTTCTCGATGGAATTTAATTATTTTCAAAAAGTTTTTAAAAAAGTTTTACAATTCTGAGAAATTTAATTATTTAAAAAAATTTTGAATAAAATTCTTCACAAGAAATTAATTATTTTCATAAATAATAATATTTTTCTTCGAAATTCAATTATTTTCATAATTATAAGAATATTCATCAAAGGAATTCAATTATTTTTAAAAGTAATAAATTTCTTCTTGGAAATTCAATTATTTTAAAAATTCTAATAAAATCGTTTATAAAAAATAAAATGCTTTTCAGGAATTCAATTATTTTCAAAAAAAATTTAATAAAATGCCACACAGACATTCAATTATTCTCAAAATTTTTAATAGAATTTTTCTCGTCAAAATTCAATTCTGTTTAAAAATAATCAAATTCTTCTTCTAATTTCAATCATTCTTAATTTTTTTAAAGATATTTCTCGAATTTAATTATTTTCAAAAAGTTTTAAAAAAATTCTGAGAAATTCAATTTTTTAGAAAAATTTCCAATAAAATTCTTCACAAGAAATTAATTATTTTCATAAACAATAATATTTTTCTTCGAAATTCAATTGTTTTCATAAATAACAAAACTGATCGCAGAATTTCAATTATTTTTATGAAATTTTAAATAAAATGATAGAAAATTGCATTCATTCTTAAATTTTTTTTAAATTCACCGAAAGAATTCAATTATTTAAAAAAAAATTTGATAAAATTCTTCATAAAAATTCAATTTTAAAAAATATTTAATTAGGTATTTAATAAATTATTTATTTTTGTATTTAAATAATTAAATTCTCGAAAAATTTTCTACTATAAAAATTGATTAAGAAATGAATTTCACTTAAAATTTTTAAATTATAATTAAAAAATATTAAAAGCATTGTAAGGTGAATTTTTAGAAATAATTGATTTTTCAAGAGGGGGTAAATTAAAATTTTTGAAAATTTAAATTTATAGTTATAATATTTTTATGATATAAAGTAATAATTTATATCATATCATAAAAAAACATGAAGGGATCGATCACTCTGAGTCGAAGAATCGGAGTGGTCGATTTCTTCTTGTTTTTTAATATTTTCGTTATTGAATTTTAGTTTAAATTTGAAAATCTGAATTCCTATATGGAAAAATAATAATTAAATATTTATTTAAAAAAGAAGTTGTAGATGTTTTGGAATAATTTTACTTTTGAAGAAATTTGTAAATAAATGTAATAAAACTTTTTTTTTGAGTATCTAATAATTGAGGGTCCCTATCAAAGAACCGGTTATAAGTTTTTTAAGCTCGAAATCATTGTCCTGTAAATAAAAAATTAAACTGTTTTTAATCCGAATTTTTTGAGAAACATTTGGGTAATCTTTATACCAGTACAAAATGTTTTCAAGAAATTAAAATTTTAAATCCTTTTTTTATTTAGAGGTCGAGAATTTTGAGTCTCAAAAACTTATAATCAGTTCTTTGATAGGGACCCTCAATTTTTGGAGTGAATAATATGCAGGGTCAGGGAAAAAGTCAAATATTTTTCTGGAAGTCAAAAAAAGAAAATTAAATTTTTGTTTCAGGGTTGCTTAAAATTTAATTTTGTTTTTCTGTGTAGCTAATTTTTTTTTATCTTTTACTTTCTTTTCCTTTATCTTCGCGGTTGAATAAAATTTTGCGGTTTAAAAAAAATTTGAATTTCTTTCATTGTTAGTAATAATTTGTAATTTTTGATTTTCAGTCGTTACAAAGCGCGGCCCGTAGAGCTGGCACAAGTTGTGCGAACTGCAAAACAGCAACAACGACGCTTTGGCGGAGAAACCAAGCTGGTGAGCCAGTTTGCAACGCTTGTGGTTTATATTACAAACTTCATAATGTAAGTATAATAAATATTAATCAGATCATTATTTTATAACTTTTTTTGTAAATTGATTCATGTATTTTGTGTACCTACGAAAAAAAGCTCTCTCTCTTTAGTAGTTGAACAAGTGTCATGTGAATGTCAGCAAAATTTTAGTTGGGAAGTGGAAAAAAAGAGAATCGAGGGGGATAATAATTTACCGTCCCGAATTTTGTGACAATAAAACAGGGACACTTGAGAGTCTGTTGTATCGACAATTAGGGCAGGCGTGTTTGCCGGAACACAACTTTCTGTTGTGCTGCATTTCGGCATTTATGTGTGAGGTAACCACTCAAGGGTGGAGCGTGCTCAACTGCGTGTGACACAGGAAGCGCCGGAAGTGAGCTCTGACAGTACAGAGAGAAAGAGAGGCCCCAAAGCAAAAGTTTTTTTGCTCCCATTATTTTTCCTCAAGATCTTCCGCGGCACTAACCAGGAAAACTGATATCATTGCAAGAGAGGGCAGTTCGTAAGGACTTCATTCAAGTGCCTCTATATATCCTATAAACGAATAGTTTCCGAAACTTTCTCGCAAAAGAAAGTCCAGTAGCTGTTCAATTTTTTTAAGATTTTCTCTTTAAATATTTATTTTTCGAAATATTATCATCAAGATGATAATTTTATTTTTTTAGGTAAATTAACAATTTAACTTCGAGACTTGTCTTGAAAAAAAAAAAATGAAAACGATAGAGGGAAATTATTAATAGAATAAGTTTATGATTATGTGAGTTAATAATTATGTGAATATTAAAATTATTAAAGAACTTGATTCGAATATATGGCAAATATTTTTATTTGTCATTTGAGAAACAAGGATTGGCGGAAGTCTAGGAACATGACTTGGTAGAATTTTTCGTTTTTTATCGGTAGAGAAAAGACATACGAATTAGGCTTTTAAAGAGAGAAGATTCACAATAGGCTTTGGGGATCAACGACAATGGCAATCCGATATTTCGTTACCGACCCAACTACCTTAGAAATGTATCCACCTTCGACCTTTTTGCTCTGAAATATATTATACATTATTTTGCAAGAGTACTTTCATGATACTGCTTAAAAAAAAACCTCGAAGGAGGAGTTATAGACTGTTGCTCTCGGGCAATGACAGATCCATTGTCGCTTGTCGTTTTCAACTTTACGTCGGCATTCAGAGCTTTAAAGAGTATCCATTACCGATACCATTTTTCCCGTAAGCATCTTATATTCAACAAAATTTTACAAATAATTCGTATTTTATTCTCAATGCCCAAAACATAATCTACTGCTTCTTTAAATATATAAGATTTATTATTTGTAATAATCAAATTCTTTAAAATGATTTAATTATTTTCAAAAAATATTCAAAATTCAATTATTTTTTAAAAAAATATTCAAAATTCAATTATTTTTTAAAAAATATTCAAAATTCAATATTATTTAAAAAAATATTCAAAATTCAATTATTTAAAAAATATTCAAAATTCAATTATTTTAAAAAAAAATAATCAAAATTCAATTATTTTCAAACAATATTCAAAATTCAATTATTTTCAAAAAAAAATATTTTAAATTCAATTATTTTCAAAAAAATATTAAAAATTCAATTAAACAATATCTAGTATTTTCACAAAATTTCATAAAAGAATTCAATTATTTAAAAAAAATTTTGATAAAATTCATCCGAAATTCAATTATTTTCATAAATAAAAAAATTCCCTCAGGAATTCAATTAATTTAAATTTTAAAATAGCGTTTCAAAAAAAAAAAATTTCGAAAAAATCAATTATTTAACAAAATTGTTATACAATTCTTCACAATAATTCAATTACTTTCACTAATAATAACATTTTTCATGGAAATTCAATTATTTAAAAAAAATTTGATAAAATTCTAAATAAAAATTCAATTATTTTCATAAATAGTAAAATTCATAAAAAAATTTCAATTATTTTTAATAATATTTCAAATTAATTAAAAAAAAAATTCAATTATTTTCACAAACAAAGTTTTCCAGAAGAATTCAATTATTTAAACTAATAAAATTTTCATAATATTTATTATATTTTCAAAAAATTAATTATATAAAACAATGTTTATAAAATTGTTATGAAGAATTCAATTATTTTTAAAAATAATAAAAAATTCAATTATTTTTGAAAATTCTAATAAAATTCTAATGAAGAATTCAATTATTTTCAAAAATAATAAAAAAACCAATTATTTTTGAAAATTCTAATAAAATTCTTATGAGAAATTCAATTATTTTCAAAAATAATAAAAAATTCAATTATTTTTAAAAATTCTAATAAAATTCTTATGAAGAATTCAATTGTTTTCATAAATAACAAAAATTTTTGCACAGAAATTCAATTCTTCTTAAAGATTTTAATAAAATTTGTCGTAATAATTCAATTGCGAATCAGAAAATTCTCAGGAATTCAATTATTTTTGAAAATTCTAATAAAATTTTTAGCAAGTATTCAATTATTTTCAGAAATAGCGAAACTAATCACAGAATTTCAATTATTTTTAAAACAATTTTACAGGAATTGTTAAAAAAATGTTATTATTTTTAAAAAATTTATTTCATTACCTCGAAAAAATCAATTATTTAAAAAAAAAATTTGTATATAAGAATTCAATTCTTTGGAAAAATATAATTCTTCGAAAGAATTCAATTATTTCGATAAATAACAAAATTATTCCCGAAAAATTCAATTATTTTGAGGCATTTTAATAAAAATTGTTTGCAAAATTCAATTATTTTCATAAATAACAATTTTCGTCACAAGAATTCAATTATTTTTAATAGTAATAAATTTCTTCTTGGAAATTTAATTATTTTAAAAAATTCCAATAAAATCGTTAGCAAGAATTCTATTATTTTCATAAATAAAGTTTTCCACAAGAATTCAGTCGTTATTTAAAATAAAATTTTCATAATATTTATTATATTTTCAAAAAATTAATTATTTAAAACAATATTTATAAAATTCTAATGAAGAATTCAATTATTTTCAAAAATAACTAAATTTTTCACTGAATTTCAATTCTTTTGAATACTTCAATAAAATTTTTCGCTATAATTCAATTATTTTCATAAATATTAAAATTCTTCTCAGGACTTCAATTATTTTTGAAAATTCTAATAAAATTATTTGCAACTATTCAATTATTTTCACAAATAATAAAATTCATCCTAGGATTTCAATTATTGTTAATACAATTTTACAGGAATTGATAAAAAAATGTAATTATTCTCAAAAAGTTAATTTCAATTCCTCGAAAAAATCAATTATTTACAAAAATATTTTTAAATTCTTTGAAAGAATTCAATTATTTACAAAAATATTAGAATTTTTCACAGGAATTCAATTACTTTCAAATAGTTTAATAAAATTTATTGAAAGAAATAAATTATTTTCAATATAATATTGAATCATTTTACAGAAATTGATTATAATTTTTGAGAAGGTTTTTTTGATTTTTATCATTAGCGAATTTAAAGTAGTCGAAATTCTCAAAAAAAATAGAAATAGTAGTTTTTAGTGTCTAAAATCTAAAGTCTGCCATAGTGTTATTCATTATTTTACACGTTTACCAAATTCTAAACTAAATATTTTTTTTTAAAAAATAGATAAATACTTTCTTCATGTGAGATATTTAAATAAAATGCCTGTTGAATTACAACAACGTTTTGCAAATAATAAATCGCTGACATTTTTGAGTTGTGCTCAATCTCTTTTTATTATCGTTACGAGAGTAACAATTAGGAGCCTTTCGAGTGATATATCGACTGGATGATTTCTAATAGCAAGTTAAAATATACATATACATTTATGGATATGCAGTGTTCTAAATGTTTTTATTTTCATCAAGAATTTTACTGTAGGCGGTAAAACAATCCGAAACATTATTCTTTCGCTTTACGACCCCCCGAGTTAAACCTTTCAGGAAGACGTCTCCGTTTTCGTAAATTAATTCAAACTGTCGCACAATATACTTGCACGATGTGATTTATACTTTTACGTCATTTGCGGAAAAGATCAAGGGAACTTGAGGAATAATAAACTTTTTTTTTGATAGCAAGTTAAAAATTCCGTTGTTTTTCTGCGGACAAAAGTCGCACAATAATTGTAACTATTCTTTGATTTTTCTTCCTTATATTTGTCCATTTTGAATACCCTCTTATACTAAAGGACATCAAAAGCATTGAAAATTATAATTATCTTTTGCTTCAAATATTATAATTTTAGAACTCGACTAACTTTGATTTTTGATAACAGATACAGAAAAATATTTAATTTTTAATGAATGGCGATTATTGCAGAGAGAAACTATTATTGTAAAAAGAATACGGTCTATACCTCTATAGTATTAAGGAGATAATGATTTTCTTATCCCGCATAAGAATTCTTTGGAATTTGTTTAGAAAATATATAGTACAGGGCAGTAACAATTCTTTCACCCTCATGGCGCGCTATGCGTCTCGTGTCGCGAGTATTTAGCGACGAACCCCTTGCTTAATTAATGATTACCAGGAAACGTGTCTGACATGGCTTTTATGCTCACCGTAAAGCTACCATGGGAGAGACTACTACTGTGTACGATCTTGTCCATTGGTCGAGCAGTGCATCCCCTTATACCGTCTCTGCCTCCAGATCGAACTCGATAAACTGCACGTAACGACACGTATATATAGGAATCAACGTAACGTTTCTTAGTCCAAAGACTTTTGAGAAGGAAAAAAAAGCAACCAACAAAAAAACAAGTATTCTGAAGAAAGGGGAGAAAACAAGAAGAGCAAAAGCACTTATGCTTCTCGACGAGTTTCAGTCAATTATAAGGTGGTTCTTTGGTCGTAAATCGATTTTCTTAGAAGATTCCACAAAGTTTCGCAAAGAAAATGTTTCATTTTTAATTCGGCGAATCCTTCTTATTCAATAATAATTATCCCAGTGGAAAAAAAACAATAAATTCCCTTTTTTTTTAATAGA